GAGACGACGGCCGCTGGCAGGAGGAAGTCGAAAGGTGTTTGGATAGGGCCGCCGCACGCTGACAGTACGCGCGATGTTCACAGTGGCGCCGTTGAAGCGGCTACGACGACCCAACCGAGAGAACGACAAGACTCACCGTCGGTAGTAGCAAAGGGCTGCCATTGACAGCCCATTTATAAATGGCTAACACTGAAACTACATTGCTACAACATGGACACACGCACATACACCAAGAATCTATTCTTTGTGCCCCACACCTCCCGGTCCCAGTTCGCCAAGAGTGCAAGAGATTTCTAACCTCCCACAAACACAATGCTTGTTCCATCTGATGCGATGCGTTGTGTTATGTCTGGGAGGAAGTACATGAAGAACGCTGCTAGGGTGACAGGCCCGGATGATATAAACAACGACGAGAACGAGCTTTGTTATGTATCCGTGAACGTACACCGTTATACGACATGGGCTATATACTAATGGTATTTTAGCGTGAAGTCGTCGAGACTGAACTGGTCAAGTGATACGCACCAGTAACCAATTAGAGTAGCGTTTCAGAAATACGTCAATTCGAATATTGATTGAGTAAGCTGTGTGTGATTCAAACTGCCTATGCTTCCTGTATCATATTTGAGTCACACAAATGAGTACACTGACCAGCGGACTGAAGTAAAACTAGCATTGGCAATGGCCTCCCATCGCCCTTTCATTTATCAGCACAGAAACCGCCAAGTAACGATTATAGTGTAGACGAATTAAGTCTCTAGCATAGATCATCATCATCAGATTGTAGGTTCTATAAATTGTGTGACTAGAGAACTGTAACGCCATTCACACGATAAACATAAAGTTGTACTGTAGCTGGGACGCCCGTTGGGCTTTAAGCGAAACGCAAGCGCTTCTCGCTGGCCGATCCCCTCTCACTGACGGTTCTCAAGGAGATCCGCATGGCGATATAGACCTCTTTCACTATACAACCGCCATCAGCACAACCGTAGTGGCTGGGAGCACTCGTGTGGGGCCGACCTTGTCCGAGGAAGACAACGATTCGTTCATTTCGAAGTCTCCGTGTCGCTCGCTCGTTGCTTGGCCGCTGGTTCGTCGCAGTCGTATGTAGACGTTGTCGCTGAAGTTCCCAGTTGACGAAGCGTAGAAGACGGATTTGCGTGACATGAACGCACCACGGTCGGCGGTTAGCTTAGCTCAGCTGAGTAGTCTTTGGCCGGGTGACCGCCTCTCAAACGATTTCTCGTGGTTTAATGCTTGAAAATACTTGAAAAGGTTGTTGTTGTTCGCAGGTAGGACGACGATCATGGGAGTAGCGCATTCGTCCGGCTATCCGGTTGGCGCAAGCAGACGAAGTCAGGCTAAATAGCTTTGGTCTCCGGTTGACGGTAACAACCATCACGAAAAGATCAACATGTGGGACAGTTGGACGGTACATAGGTACGAAGCCGTATATCTCCCCTGGTCAAATATTACGATTATACGGTTAGGAAAGTTACGACGACAAAAATAACCCTATCGCTATCTAGCTAAACCGGACAGACACGGAATCCTTTAACGCCAATGACAAAGTATAAGCACGTTTTCTTCCACGGGTAGAAGCTCATCGAACGTTGTCTTGCCTAACATAACAGTACGTTGTACCTGCCCGCAGTTGATGTGCTAGCATCTCACCTGTGTGTCTTAGTAAAATCGGTATTCAAAGCTGAAGTGCTCAATTCAATTCTATACAGACAAATGATCTCGTGGTACACGTATTGCCCTTCTTGGACGCCCTCCGCCGCGAGACGACTACTAACAACAGCAAAACAATGCAACCAGCAGAACAGATGGATTATATGCACTCATTGCAGCTACAAAAACAAAGAATCAGGTTAATTTTGCTAGAGCGAGAGCACTCATGGTCGACGCGGTCCGCCATTTCAACGGCCACCCCTACCACTAATACAGGCCCCCTGTTCCCCACCTCCTCCTCCTCCTCCTCCTCCTCCTCCTCCTCCACCTCCCCTTCCCCTTCCCCTTCCTCCTCCTCCTCCTCCTTCTTCTTCTCGAAGAGGATTACGGAGACGAGTTGTAAAATGGCGCGAACCAACGATCAGGCAAAAGCCGCAAACAACGAATGGCGCGTTTCTGCTGCTAAGTTTCATTTTCGCGCGAACAAGGCGCGCTCCGGTAGCGGTCCCCTGACGGATCGCAAATGCCTGCTACCATCAAACATGTCGAAACGCTAGACTCCCTTTGAAGTCCGAAATAAACTGCCTCCAAGCTGAAATTTTCTGCGTCATGTTAATTGTTCACTTATTTTGCGTCGTTCCTAGTCTAATTTAGTTCCGTCCAGTCGAGCCTGCGAGCACATCGATAAATCCGACTATGACCGCCAAAAATAAAAAGTAGTAAATAATAATAACAATGAAGCAGGCGGGGTTGTTGGAAAATATAACAAACGATTGAAACCTAGTCCACGGTGCGAAACTGACACGCATAGCAAATATGGGTGCGTGGTAGGCCATCTCCTCCCTCCCTCCCTGTACCATGTATAATAAATCTGGTTCCACTCGTCATTTTAGCGCGCCATAATTAGCAATTTTCGAAATGTCATGTGTTGTGATACGACACCGTCAATCTTTTTTGCTCTGGGCGGTAAATACCGTTTTCCTTCGAGTTCTTCTAAAATAGTTAACTAGTCCCCCTGTTGATGCGTTTATTTTCTTCGAACTGTAATATATGATATACATGCATATATATTTATGTAACAACACATAGGATACGATGTGTACGAAAGTTATCCTATGTGTATATTTAACGGAAACAGTGACCTCACGCGCTCGTTGTTTGTTAGTTGGCAAACCGCAGATACACGAACAGACGCATCAGGCAGTGATGCACAAAGGATCAAACCCCAATCTGCCGTCGTCACGACCGCCACCGCCGCTGCCATCATATGGACTTCCCTTCCTCTATTTTGAGAGAAATTACACGCTTTACCATCGCTCCTCTTCCCTTATAGAGTGATAGCACTTCACCGTTTTTCTTCGTTGGTTCCTTCTCCTTATTCTTCCATTTCATACGCTGCTGTTACCAACAACAGTAGCGGCGCTGCTGTGCTGGTCGATTCCTTGTTCCGTGGAAACAATTTCAACTTTTTTTTTTGTTGTCGACTCCGGCTAGAGTTCGGCTGATTCCCGTGCCGTTGGTCCTGTCATCCACTTGGGGGAGGAAGGGAGGACAGACTTACTGTGACGACTATGATTCGTCAGTCGCCGTCTGCGGTCTGGCTCGTCCACCGCGCAACTAAGAATTGATACGGGGAAGAAATACTAATAATAAAATAATAATAATCGTGCCACATAACGCAGCAACGAACGAAACGCGGACCGGCAGCTCCGTCATCAGCGGTCTTTGGAAGCCGTAGCAGCAACAGTGGCAGCGGTAGCATCTACATTAACGTAAGCACCGGGGGTCGAACGAAAGAAGCGAGGAAAGCTAGTAAAGGCAGCTACAGCAGAAATCGCAATCGCAAGCGCAGCACCATTTGAAGTACTGTCATTTCGAAGCGAGTGACCGATAAGCGGTCGAAACAGTCGGCTAACAACACAACACAGCCCTACGACGAAAGGAAGCGACTTTGACGACGACGACAACAACGACGACGACAAAAACACAGAACAGAACCCAACGAGCGAATACGCGAACAGACAAGAAGAGCGCTAGAACGACGGAGAGAGAGAGAGAGAGAAAGACAAGTAGGCGGACACACAAACTGACAGACAGGCAGGCAGGCAGGCAGGCAGGCAGGCAGGCAGGCAGGCCATTTGACATACAGATACAGACAAACCACGACGCCCGGCGCTTGTTACAGCGGCAGCAGAGCCGCGGCTGTGGATGCAGTTGGCCTGATCGACCGTCGGCAGCTGGGTATATTGCGCGTCCCGCTGCTGCTGTTGTGTTTAGCAATCGTGTCGAATAGGCGACCATCGTAAGCACTGCCACAATCATCGGTGCCGCTACCATCAGCATAAACTCTTTTTGTACTAACGCAGGAAGGAGGAGAGCTACAGCAAGAGCAGCGGCAGTGCGTATGGATGCAGCCACATCCTGATCTTGGAATCTACGAATATATATGTGTACATACGTCGTCTGTGGTTATCCGCAAAACGCGTCGTGCTGACGCACAAACACCAATAACAACAGCACCGAACATCGGCAGAAATGCGTCCATTTATTGATTGGTGATTGGCGTACGTGGTGAATGGATTAGTTCTGGTGCTATATATATACACCTATTTAAAATTATATTTATGTACATACATGAAGAGATATATGTGGCGTGTCAAGATAATAGCGAAAACCATAATAGTGCCGATGCTTCTAACGGAGATGATATCTTCTCGCCGTTTAAGGTTGACAATGACGAGCCGCTCGGTGCATACATTTATATTACTTGTATGCATTCGCGTCCGTATGTAGATAGGGTCAAGCAAGGACACACACACCTATCCAATAGTAACTAAAAATATACTAGATATGTTCATTTTTCGTGTGTTTGGTAGGTGGGCGGATCGGGAAAGACATGCAGGCGAACTTCATCATTTCCAGCATCAGCTGACGGCAGATCAGGTAGGCACCGATTTTAGAAGAATAACTAATTAAGAGAAACAATTTACTCTGCCGAGTCTTGCAGTCGTTGTCAATGTCTGCGTCTTTGTGTGTGTGCATTAAAGCGTGGATCTGAATGGAGTCCTCGTCATCATCGCTGCTGCATGGGTCGTAATCGTGATGCCATTGGAATGGCAATATAACTCGCATCGTTAATGACCAAACTAATTGGATTGGGATTTTGGCCAGACGGGGAAAGGAGGGGATCGAAGGGAAATTCATTGAAACTGGGAAACGCTGGAAGGCTGTGCACTTTAACGAAAACTACGGATAGACAAAGCCATTGCTCAAAGCTGTCCAGCGTCCACAGATTCGTACAATCCTCTTTATTCACGGGCTCTGACCTGATGCCTGCTGGCTGATGCCGAGCTGGGCCGAGATCCTGCCCAGGTGCCCAAACAGTTGCAGGGTGGACATCGATGTGCCGCAACTTGTTGGTTGAATTGGTGATAATTGGGATGGTGGAGATGTAGATGTTAATAGCATGTTGTTTAAGGAAGTGCAACTCGCAACTCGACCATAACTTGTTGTTGACCTAGTTGGCGAGTAGCAAGTTGTGCTGTGAGAAGTAGAACTTGTAGAAGCCACTAGATGTGTCATAGTTTGATCTTGTGGTGTTGTTGTTGTGGTTGTTTGAGGAGTAGAACAAAAATTGCCATGGCATCGGTTAATGTGGCCCGTAGTAGACGAAACAGCCCCTTTAGGGGACCGTTTCTGTCGGGCCTGGGAGCCTGAATGAGCAAGATCATAGTAGTGCGTACCTTCTCTGCGCATGCCCATTTTGAGGCACTTTTTGAGTCGGCAGTATTGACACTGGTTGCGGTGATGTTGGTCTATGGGGCAGTTCCTGTTCCCTCGGCAGGTGTAGCTGAGATTCCTGCGCACGCTACGTTTGAAGAACGACTTACATCCCTCGCACGTGAATTGACCGTAGTGCTTTCCAGAACTCTTGTCACCACATACGACGCACTCGATGTTATGCGCCTGCATCTGAGCCGCGGTGGGCCCGTTCTTGTCGGACTGGGGGGTGGCGGACTGCGGAGGATGCGGGTGCAGCCCCATCAGCTCGTGCTCCCCCAACGTCCCTAAACCTACACCGACGCCGACACCGCCCACGCCGAGGCCCGGCGGCTCCCGCCAGGGCGTCATTGCGAGCGCCATCCCAGCGGCCACCGAGCCGCTATTTTGCTGATACAGCAGCACTGTAGAGGCTGGGGGTTCCCGCGTCTGACAATCAGTGTTGGCTAACACCACAGTGGTCCTGTGTGACGGTAGTGGTGGTGCTATGGGCTGGCGCCGTCGTCGCGCGCCGGAAGAGGTCGTCTAGACGCTCCAGTCGCTCAACGTCACTCCCGTGTCTCTTTCGGCTTCGGTTTCGACGTCGATTTTGTAGACCTCGTTGACTTCGGCGTTGACGGCAGATAATGATGATGATAAAGTTCGTCAGAACTGTCGTCAAGATACTGAGCTGTTGTTGATAACAATGCTGCGCTTGTTATTCTTATTGTCGTGGAGATTGTTTATCTATATTGTTGTTGTAGCAGCAGCTATCGGCTTGGTGTACGGCCGTTCCGTCGTTACTAGAACAACAAAACTTGACGGTGCACGCATAAAGCATGAGGATATATTCGAGAGAGCAGGATATGGCGGTGGTGGTGATGATGATGACGATGATGATGACGACGATTATTAGGTCCTTCACTTCACGCCACACTTAATAATCTCACACTCACAAAAACACTCTTTTGTAGTATTCACGCACATGTAGTGAAACAACGAATGCAACTTATGACGAAAAAATTAATTATTGGATTCTCCACTTTCCATTTAGCCGTTGGTAGAGGCTGTTGGAAAACACAATTTGATATATATCTGAGTGTGCAGCTCAGTTGAACACGTTATTTTCCCACCAACCTTAAACCGTTTGCACTTATTCACGTACTGGGCTAATTGCACACCGTCGTTCAGACGTTGTCGTCGTCCTCGTAGTAATATTTAGCCGCTGTATTTTTGTCATTTGTTCTCTTTTCAGTCGCGACGCACGATTAAATCATCCTTATTACACCGTCGTTGTCATTGTTGTTGTTGTTGTTGCTGCTGCTGCTGTTGTTGTTGTTCTCTTTCTTCTCAATAACTGCATGTATACGGCCATTAGTTATTAGTTAGGCTGCCTGCCTGCCTGCCTGCCTGCCTGCCTGCCTGCGGATGTCCCACATTTCCAAGATCATCGTAGTAACAGCGACGGTGTGCACTGTAACAGAAATAAACACTACGCTCTTACTATTAATAATTAACTGCGCGCCGCTTAGTGACTACTCTACCAGGTCACTGGAACTTGTTTCGTAGAAACGCGGTATTTTTCGCTATGAAGTACCTTCATCACTCACTCATTCATTCATTGAATGGTGATGATCGGTGGGTGAGCGGATGGGTGAACGGGTATACATCACTTGACAGTCCATTGGATGGTCTGGATGTCACTGGCGCGCCGGTCCGTCTTTCGTCTGTGGACACCACACTAAATTTATTCCTTGACGGCCTGTCTTTTTGTCCTGTCGATGGGTCTTTAGTCGTCGTCTTCCTTGCCGTAGTTGCAGTAAAACTAGTTAGTAACAGTGAAGTGCCATTGTGTATTGGCGTCCAGGTAGCCTTCGTGGTGTCAGTAGTAGTTGCGTTAGTAACACGGCCTTTCTATTTTGTTGGAAAAGAGCACCGAGCTGCCGAGCCAGGCAGGCCGCGAGCAGTTCCTGCACACCAGCGTAGGTTAGCAGCACAGTAGAGCGCAGAGCGGCTCGGCTCAGCGCGACGACAGTAGCAGCAGCAGCATCAACACCAACCAACAAACCCCGCAGCAGCCACAGAGCGAGCGGAGCAGCCACAGGGCGGCCGGTCGCTGGCGTACAAAGTTCAAAGTGGTATATCTAACTTTAGGCGGTCGCAGGCTGGGTCATGCCAGTGGCGGGGGCAGGCGCTGGGGTCGAAAGGCGCGCGCTCATTGGCTGCCATCGGGATCGCCCTCTCCCACCCCGTGGGACCATCCCGCCGCGACCTGCTCCGCGCGAGCTTAGCGAACAGTCGCCAGGCGGCGCTCGTAAACGTCTGCTGTTTGTCCTAGCTGCTGCCGCCGCCGCCGCCGCCATTGCTGGTGTCTATGCCGGCCCTGCTCACATCAGTCCAGCGATTCTGATCGGCTCGGATCGGATAGGAGAGCAGCAGCGGAAGAGCTACTTACCACTTACGAGACTAACCGCTCCAGGAGCGGCCAAATAGTGAGTGAACTACAGAGACGGAGATGGCCTTCGATAATTCGGGCAGACGGGTGGGCTGACGGTTGTCACAAGCAAACGGGTGACGACAGTTGAGGGGATCGTTGCGGTAGTGGCCTGATTCGCCAGGTCAAAAGGAAACCAAGCCTAGACTTAACGGCATAGCCAAAGTCGCTTATCACATGGAGAAAGACTAAAAAAAATAGCGAGTTAATACAAAAAGTTATCGGTTGATCAAAATGGCAAAACAACAGAAAGGCACTTATCTTGGCTGTATTGTATACAAATAAATAGTAAGCAAGCATCTCTGTAGATGATTGATCATGTTTATACAGGCGACGCAACGTCTGTTCTCCAATGGCGTAGGCAAAATATCGAGTTTCATTGATAAAAAGACTTGTGCTCACCAAGCAGTACGGACACTAGAAATAAGGCCAAAATGCATTCCGAAAGAGATCTGCGTGACAATGTCTGTAGCACCCAGTAATCACGCGGTTAGTAATACGCGAATTCAGCTACAAATTTACCGCAAAAGCAGGCTTGGAGACTATAATGCACAATGAGTAATCACCATATAGTTAAATGAAACAGTGCAACAAGAGAGAAGGCTGGTAACCGGTAGATTGATGATTAGCCGGTGTTGGAATAGGTGAAACGCACACGCAACTAGGATCATTCAAAGCCTCCCTTTCACTAAGTAGGTCATACTTCAGACATCGAAATCTCATTCGATTGGCATTATCTTAACAAATGCTACGCTGATGTCGTTTGCCTAATAGCGTCTTAGCCTAAAGGACTCTCTAAGCTTGGCTTGTGGTTCGGCAGCTCGTTAAACAGAGGCAAAATTTTTTTACAAAAACATCCACCTAATCAAGCTGACTAAGATGTCTGTTTATTTGATTCTTGCCGGCACACTTGAAACAATAATAGTTTACCCTCAATATATGATTGCTAGTAAGACGAAGCCATATAAAAAAAATTCTGCATTACTTAAATATTGAGTACATATGCAGCCAACTGATTCTCTTTCCCTCCCTCTCTCTCTCTCTCTCTCTGTCTCCATATATATATATATATATATATATATATATATACATCTATTGTCGATGAACGTATTAGATTACGTGGTGATAATGAGTTTATTTTTCAACGACTAAAAGGATTACTAAGATATCAATCGACTCCTAAAAAGGGGAAACAGTTTTCTACGTTAGACTCAACTATACAAGTAATTAAGCGCCGCTAAAACGTAATTAAGAACACCTCATTCTCATTGCGGCGACAGTATTGAATTATCAAATTGCAGTTAGAAAAAAAAATGGCATGTGACTATTAGTTAATATTTGAAGTTACCAAAAAGGTCTTTTCTAACCGTATTTTTATGACTCTAACAGCGTTCAAAATGGCCGTACGGTGCAGAGGCATCGAGTAGAAAAACAACTATGTCCGCCGTTGCCAGTTCACCGTTGCTTTGGTCGAACTTCGCTTTTCTTTAACTATGTCTCCTAACGATTGTACCAATCCAACAAATAAATCAAATTTCTACAATTCACACTACTTAAAGATGTTTCCTCAATATGCACACGTCACAAAGCTCGACCGAACCGGCTAAGGCCATCATCAGTCATCTTCTGCTCGCGAAGCATTTACATTGAGCAGAGCCGCATCAATCCAGATAATAGCATCTGATCAATCGTCGGTCGCGGCATATTAAAAACAGTCAACAACGGCTTATACCGTAACGCATATATATATGTAATGGTGCAATGTAAATACCGCTAGTTCAACGTGACAAGGAAAGGTTACAATGTTATCAACTGAGCGTTTACAGTCAGCGCGCAGACACTGAGGAAACTGCCATAATACGATCGCAATGTCCAGAGCCATAGCTGACTGGTCTGACTGAATATACAACGCGGGTCTTACTAGCAAAAATATTGCCAAACATTTGCCCTTCGGCAGCATTTCAATTGGGTCATTTACTACAAATGTTTTCTAGTTTTTCGTTTCTTTGTTTGAATGTCGAAGCGAGCGACAATTTACAATTGTATATTCGTGCTCAATAGAGATGTGCATGAATGTACGCCAGCGAAGAAGTCTCACGCGTTTCTTTGTCCAACAGCGAAGATAGAGCGATATAATCAGACCATCATGGCAAATTTAAGTGCTTCCTCTCTGTTCAGTTGCGTCTGTTGCCGCGCTTAGGTGATAGATTCATTCTTTGATCTTTTCAAAAAACCTTGACACGACAAGTGCACTAAAGCGATCGTTGGATCCTCAAAATCCCTTTTTACGCTAAACTCATTTTTGTTTTTTGTCGGAATTTACAAGTAATCCTCGCAACACAAAATCATACCTGATCATAACAGCCATACTTGATTACGGACTTATCTGCCAAGCCGGAGCGAACCTATTGTTGAATTGATCAATTAAAAACATTGCTAGAGACGTCGGTCTGTGACAAATAGTGCTAGCTCACATACAAAGAAAACGAGTGCACTGGTTTACCCAGTACGGCGTCATAAGATAACAGACGGGGTAAGCCTAAAACGGGTTGATTACTGAACGTTTCATGGGCCTTGTCCTAGTTTCAATTCAATTAGAAAAGCTGCCGGAGAAAATAAGATCAAGTCCTCTTAACCAGGAAACTGGACAGAAAGCAATGGATGCTCGCTAAGGGATCATCTCATCTAAGCAAGCAGCCTAACACTTTCTTGAATAGTGCCATGCCTTCAAGCATAACTTTAGTACGATGAATGAGCTAAATGCTTGCAGCAGTCGTGAGTAAAGACCGAAGGACAGTGAGTATCAAGAGCACCCGTCGCCAGGATTCACCAAGGACAAGAAGTGAATCCTTTGCTGAAGTTCTGATTGCGTTACTCGTTTGGCCTCCGAGGCATCATCGCCCCATCCCTCGGGCTGCCGACGCGGCGAAACAGGCAGATCAGATGGGCTCAGAGGTCTTGATCTTTGCTGGGCGGGGCGCTAACGGCTGTGATCTTGCGGTCAGTGCCAAGTTGCCTCCTCCTTATTGCAAGGTAGCAGAACGGCAGCACTCATTGGTGCTAAACCAAGCTCATTTGGTTGATATCAGACTGACTGCTCTGACCCTGATCACACTTGATTGGATTGACTCCTCAGTCGAGAACGACGCCGCTACTCGGCAGGGAAGATGTTCTTCGCAACTCCCATAAGCTCAGTGTTTTTGCAAGCATGTTCAAAGCTTATCATACTATTTTAGCTCTACTATCAATGCTAGCTATCTGTGCTTTGAGCAGTTCGAGTCTGTTTCATCAGTTCTTATCTTGGAAACGCATAGCCTGTACACGAAGCTGGGTTGATGGAACGATGATAATTGCAGCTGAATGAATTAATGTTCAACCAGTTGTACATTCAACAGGTGAGAGCTGCAACGCAGAAACAACAGTTATTTCTGTTCACTTTTATAATGAAATTATCGAATTTGGAATTGGTTTTATGGGTGAATTGTATATGAATTGCGTATCGTTACACAATACGGCTAGCTATGCGTGGGAACGAAGCATCGATATATATATATATATATATATATATAGGGTGCCTCACCGAACTCTTCAGGATCGGGTTCGCCGTTAGACGATTGTGATGTGATACAGCCGTGCAAGGAGTCGAGTGGAATCAGTCACTCCGCTGGATGGCGGTGACACACTGCTGGACTCCTCGTCGTCGGAGTCTGGTCATTCAGAGAGAACAACAGGATAACGCTTGTCTATTGTGTGTCCTATTGTGTACGAATGTGGGAGTCACAGGCCATCCATAGGCCCATTGCACATCGTCTTAGTTCCTACTTCGCCTTTGCTCCCGGTCAACTGCTTGACGGCGGCCGCTCGCTTAACTCGACCAACGCCGAAGAGGCGATATACTGCCTAAAGGGTTACCCTTTCAGGGTATCAACTCGCACATAGAGAAGCTTTAAATCGTTGGCACTCGATCATTGGGTGCCGTTGACAACAGAGAACGAAACGTGGACGAACTGCGCAATTACTCGTCCACTCGAGCTCGCGCAGTAACCGGAATGGGGGTGACGATGACTGCGATATCGTGCTGCACAATTCTGTTTTTAAGAAAGGCCTCGTAGTTCCAGCTACTCGGCAACTTCGCTAGAAAACCTACACGACGTTTTTGTTGTATTACCTTTGTAGACTATCATAGTAACAATTTTATAACTTTTTTCTCTTTATTTTGGCCTTGGAGCTTGTCGCTTGCGCTTGAGATTGTATTGCCGCTACGCAAATCACCGCACGCGTTCATTCCGAATGTGTATTCAAGTATATCATGTATGTCCTAACATAAATGCCTATTTATTAATTTCAACAATAGATCGACAATATTGGGTTCTGGGGTTGTTTATCGTAAACTAAGGCCCTTTAGAGTAAAACGCGATCAACATATGTGGCCACTCTGCGAACTTGCGTATTGAATCTTAATAGAAATTACTCTCGTCTATGAAACAAGCGCTCGAACATCCCCCATTAACATTAGACAAACGACAATTTACCGCGTCGTTTTGTGGTGCTCATTATGATAAGCAGCATCCCTTGAAATAGATAAATGGTTCCGT